TCTGAAATTGATCTTCCCATGTAGGAAGCTAGTAATAAATCCTTTTTACTATATTCACAAATGTAAACTTGGAATATTTACTAGAAATTCAGATTATYTGAGGTTTAATCTGCAAAAAAGGCAGTCAAAGATAGTTTATTCCTAATTAAATGACCTGTTTAACCTCTTTAAAGAAATAGATGTGGATTTGCACCAGTATTTAAGCCATTCTTTTACAGACTTTCATGATAACAGTCCCACTATGATGTCATCACGACACTGACTGTCTCAGTGCAGGAAAATAAATCCATTTTAATTTGATCTTCTTTTAGACTCTGAAGCGTAAAGAGAAGGAGTACGAGCACGACATGGAGCGGCTGGCCAGAGAGAAGATCGCCACGCAGCAGCGGCTGGCGGAGCTGAAGAACGAGCTGAGCCAGTGGATGGACGTGGTCGAGATCGACAGAGTCCTCCGACAGACGGCGCAGCCGGAGGAGGACCAGGCTTCGACGTCCACAGCCTCAGGTGGGTGGCTTTGGTCTGAGCAYGTTCATGGATCTCCTTGACGTCAGTCTCTGGTAACAAACCTTCTGTTCTCCAGAGGGTGAAGAYGCTATGGAGGAAGACCTGGATGAGGAGACGTCGGCGGCCTCGCCCTCTGCGCCTCGCGGTCTGAAACCAGAGCTCCACAAGACGGCGCCGCGCGGTCCAGCTCCACCYGCCGTCACCGCCTCCATCATCAGCAAACACATCTCCATCCAGAACAGAGCCCCTCTGCAGCAGCCCACCCCTCAGCCCCAAGCCAGAGCTGCAGCTCCGACATCCACCACCCAGACCCCCCTCTCCACCCAGACCCCCAGTCTGCACCCTACAGTCATCGCCCACGCCTCAGTGTCCCACCCTTCAGTCATTCAGACACTAAACCACGTCATCCATGGAGGTGGTCCTCAACACGTAGCCCACCTGGCTCCTTCCTCCACCTCCCCCAGCTCTGTGCARCTGGCCCCCGGTGCCCACCCCATCAGCCACATCACCGTGCACCCGGTGGCCCACCTGGGTCCCCACATGCCCACCCTGTACTCCCAGCCTGTGGCCGTCACCCAGCCGGCCGTGGTGGGCCACATCGCTCACACTCTGAGCCACGCCCACGTGAACGGCTCGTCTCCGAACCAGGCCGCTGTCGGAAAGCAAGGGGCGGTGATGGCGCGCCACCCGCAGCTGGTGGGTCAGACGGTGCTGAACCCCGTCACCATGGTGACCGTGCCCTCCTTCCCCATCAGCACCCTGAAGCTGGCCTGAGCTCTGCTGACAGGACCGCCGGGCACAAGCAGGGGCAGCTCCAGGGCAGAGTTCAGTGACACGGAGAGAAGCGAGTCCTGCAGTCCTGACAGGATGAAGCAGACTGTGTGTGTGGGGAGGCTGGTGTGCACYTTCAGACCCTCGCTCCTTCCACAGACACGGAGGCATTCGTTTAACAGCAACACGCAGGAAGACCCCGCTCTGCCTCAGTGCAGACAGCGATGCATCAGAGCCGGACCGCCAAAATCAGCACTGAGAACGTGATCAAGAGCGGCTCCTCCTCCTCCAGCAGCGGGGCTGGAGCAAAACCACGGACTGAACTACCAACTCTTGCACCAGAGCGGCAGTCAGTGACGGTGCACGCAGCAACAGCGTCACCTCCTGGCTGTTTCTGTGCAACACAGCAGGGAGAGCAAATATCCAGAGGCGTTTAATTTAAACCCCCACTCAGTCTAATAATGAGCAGTTCTGACAATCAGCTGTCCTTCCTGTTACTGGTGTCTAACAAACACACTGTTAGTTCTCCACACCTGATACTAGGTTTTAATTTTTTTTGTTATTTTTGCCAAATGATTTATTTCACATCAATATACAACAAAGGGAGGTTTAAATGCTTTCAGACAAATTTAGGCAATTAAGGAACACATTTTTAATATCAGAACATAAAATCCATAAATCTTAGTTTTCATGACTGATAATGCAGATAATGTGTGTTTATATCATGTGGTGTTAAGTCCTCAGAAAGGGGAAGATTTGAATCAGGTTTGGTGCAAAGTGACTTTAAACACGTGTCCTGTGTTAAAGTTGTCTCTGTGAACATTTCTACAGTCTGACAAAGTAAAACCTGCAGTTTAATCTGAGCACTTAGAGCAGCTGGACTCGTCATCATGATCTGGAGCGAAGCACTCCACAGAAACTCTTTTTTTTTTTCAACAATTAAGAGATGTTATTAAAGTCAAATGTAACATTTATAGATAAAATTGTATTTAAATTTATACTGTTGCTTGTTTCTGTTTAATGATTTTTTTCCCTCTCTGGGACCAYGAACAAAGTTGTATATAAGAGGTTAACAGCAGGTCATATTTGGACACTTTAATATTTTCCCACTTTTTTTGTATTTTTACAGTAAACAGAAGAGACTTTTTTTTTTTACAAAAAAAAAAAAACTATTTCTCCCACTCAAATTTATTCTGGCCTATTGTATTTTAAAGTAGCGTTACTGCCGAACTAATGTAAAAAAAATGTATCAGTGTGGTCAAATGTACTTGAAGCAACAGTATATTAATGTGATTTTCCCTATGGAGAAAGTTCAAGTTGTAAATACGCTGTAATTGTTGAGACTGCATATAGATTTAACCATTGTGTAAAAGAAATATGGAGAATGTCAAGCTCAAAATTTATAATAAAAATATAATAAATTCTATTATGTTTACAAATGACCTGATTTCATTGTTTAATTATTTCATAAGTACTTAGTAATATATCACATATGTAAAGTCACTGAGTTTATGCAAATATATAAAATTAATTTAAAAAATATAATTAAAACAGCTAAAAACTCCAGCGTTTATAGTTCAAAGTATTACTAAGAGTTTTAAAGGTATRAAAATATAAAAATCAGGATTTGGTGCAAAATGATTTGGACAGATTTTACAGAAAAAAAAGACACTGAAGAATCATTTTGTACCAAGATGTACACAGCTGGACTTCATGGAACCGGGTCAGAACAGAAACGGTTAATTTACCATTAAAAGAACTGACCTGCAGTAAAGCACGGTGGAGGTCAGCTCATGACGTGGAGCTGAAACTGGAGGGTAAAACTGTTCTGTTCAAAGCAAACATGAAATCCATAGATTATTTCTGTAAACCTAAAGACACAAACATTGCGACACGTTTAATAAACTAAACACCGAGTTCTACTAAAAGTTAAATTACCACTTAATGTAAAAAGTTTAAGTTTGGCAGCAATAAATCCTTACAGGTTTCTACCTATTTACTTCATTTGCTCAGTTAGAATTAAGTACAATATTAAAGATATCAAACAAAATGAGAAAAAGAAACTTACATTTCTCCTTGATCCTCAGAAGCCTCAAGTTTAAATGAGTCAAGTTTTAACAAATAAAACTGCAGTTGCGATTGAAATTATATTCATATTTTATTACAATATAACGGCTGAATTATTACATCATTTTTATGCTTTCCTCTTCATATTCAGTTTATAAATTCAATACATAAATATAATCCAAAAAAACACACAAAATAAAACAAGTCAAATTTAGTATAAAACAATTTCAGAAACAGAAAAAAATACCCGACAGAAGGAATGTGTGGTTTTTTTAAACAAAATTCACAGAAAATAAGAGGAAAGTCATTTTGATCATTATCCTTAACAAAACAAATAAATCCAAACTTTATCCTTGGTGTTGAAAAAAACATCAACTCTGACCGAACAGAAGAAAACGTGACTTTAAACGAGCAAAATAAAAGAAATAACCTGTTTCTTTTTTCTAGCTTCTCAAACACCCATTACACTAACCTGCAAACTGAGTTTGTAAAACAAAAAAACATGCAAAAATAAATACATCGTCCATCGATGCAGCCCTGCTCCTCCTCTCTGCAAACGTTAAGATCATTTTTAATCCTGGGCTCATGTTGCTACACCTCTGCTTTGGGGAAATATTATTATTGCAGATTGTTTTTAAAAAAGGCATCATGACTGCTGATGACTGATGGGTGGGAGAGTTTCACTGGCCAACATTAAACATCCATGAAGTCAGGCAGCAGAGGTGGCAAACAGAACAACAAATGTACATCGAAATAAAACCAAGTAAAACAAAAACATCAGCAGAAAGAAAGATTATAATCTATACAATCCATATAAAGCCAAACTGAGTGCTATTAAATAAAACATATGAGACATGAATAAAAGTCTGAGTGATACAGAAAATAAGAGGAATAAAGTTTAAATCGATGAGAAACTAAAAACATTAGAAAAGTGTGCTTAAAACATGATCCTGTCACCAGTAATTAAACCTTCAGACACCMCTGTGACGATGTGGGGAAAGAAAAGTTCTGATATGTTTTGAGGAGCGGAGCGGAGGACCRGATTGGTTCCGAGGAGAATGAATCGAGTCGTCACGTCTTACCGCCTCCTCGGAGGGTCCGTGTGATGAGGAGCCTGCGTGAAGCCGGGTCGATGTTCAGGCGTGGAGTGCAGAACGTCCCCGTTCCATCATCGGAGGTCCTCCGTTAATGGCCGTCGTTCTGAGTGACCATGTGATCCTGGATCCTCTGCAGCATCTCCTGCATCCGCCGCAGCTGTGACGAGAGAGGG